ATTTCCAAATTATAGTGGCAACCGTCGATGAGATGTGAAGGGATCGGAATTTGGTCAAGTCCGAGGTTTCTCACCTTTTTAATGTCAATTTAAGGAATATATTCTCTGCTTCTGTAAATTTTTTACTCTTATTTGTATGTTTTTCAGTATTCCATCTTCTAAGCGGTAGCTTGATGCTAGTTTCCTCAGAATTCTATACAAGATAGTTATAAATTTCGATTTATACACGAGCTGGTATGAATTTTTATTTTATGGATTTTTATTGATACTAGTTCCCTCATTGTCTGACGTATTTCTGGTATATTATTGAGGGACAGGTTTTTTTTTTTTTTTTTTTTTTTTTTCTCTTGTTCGAGATTACTTGCAGACTTGATTTTTGTAAGTGCTTTGTTTACTTAAGATTTTGGGACTACAGTGATTACTTGTGGTAGTGAATTGATGCCTTCTTGATCATGACTTGTTTTGTCTTTTGGTAGGGGAAGGTTGGTTGCAAGAATTTAGGTTCAGGACTTGTGATTGTTGATTGGTTTCAATTTCATTGGATGGTTTGTTAGCCATTCATTCATGTCTTGACAACCTAGAGCTTGACTTGTGATTTTTATTTTGCAAATGGTATTCATCTAAAGGTGAGAAATTGGCCAAAGGTGATCCTTTCCAAAGAAAAGACTCAGCATTTCTGCTCAAACCTTTTCCTAGGAGCCTATCAAGCAAGTTAATTATAGTGAACATTAGAATTTTTTCCACTTTTTCTTTCTAGAAAAAGATTAAGGAAATTTGGTATATGAGATTCATGGTCTTTTTATCCTTTTAGATTCTGAAATACCCATCATCCATGCTTGCTTCTTTTGCACCACCGATCCTGTTTTTCCAACATACTGTAACTTCACCATCTTGGGCATGTCCATTTTATTAAGCTCTGCTCATAATTCTATTTTTCTAGTGCAACAGTTATGCTTCAATATATGGATATACTTATATTGAAACTCACAAGCAGCAATCCCTTATGAAGGTGGGATTTAATATTCTTGATATAACTATCAAAAAACTTTTATGGTTGAATGCATATTCATGAACAATTAACATTTCGATGGTTTGCTGATTGTTCTCTTTACATGAATAAATATGTCCTTAATGTGTTTCAGAAAGCTTTTCCATTTTTGGTTTTTGTGCTATTGGCAGCAACTTGGTGGCTCTATGATCATTGATTCTTCCTATTTCTACTTTTCTACAAGGATCATGCCTTATTTAGTTTATTTGTATAAATTTTTAGGTGGATGTGGAGCCAAATCTGCCTGTCGTGCGGTGGCTGCTTTCAATTATATCTACCAAGCAATGGATTCTTATGAAGATGAGCAGAATTGATGCAATGAAAAGGTTAGTGAGAAAGCAACCTTAAAGTTGACTTCTGTATGATTGCATCAATACCTGCAAGTAAGGATTATTCGCATGAGTACATTCTTATAAAAATAGTGATAAAGATTTCTTTAAATTGATTTCTTAATTTGATTGTGTGGTAGGGAAATGGAGGGCAAGGCAGCATGGGGGCATAGAAGGCTCTAGCAGAATTGAAGCATCAGATAATGCTTTAGTTAATGCTTTAGTTTAGCAATTTACTTTTCCCACTTAGAAAATGATATTTTCTGTTTAAGCTCACTAATTGATTTTACTGTTCTTGTTTTGTGGTGTATTGTACATAAAGTTTGAACAGTGTAGTTGGTTTTTAATAGTAATAATATCTCTCTTTTTTGGCCAAAAAAATCATTTATCTTAACATGCTGACCAAAAAATGTTTCATTTATTTTGTCTTATTTATGTAATTTAAGTACAGTATGTTTTATTTTTAATATTAAAAATAAACATTTATTT